GTTTTTTTCCGCATACACTTACACTTGTAATAAAACTTTACAGTGGGGGTCAATGTGAGGTTTTGGAAAGTGGTTGGGGGTCAACGGTTAAAAAAGTTTGTCAACCCCTGAACTAGAGGAATTGTCTTGTTATGCAGTCTGTGAACATCAACGCTCTAGTTCTTAAATGTTTGACTACAAGGGCTCCCAGTATATATTCTTGGTTTAAATCAATGTTTCCAAAATTGTGTTCTGCAAAGCAAAATTTAGGATTCTGTCATCCTTTGAGTGCATACTTGACAAAATGAACTTAGGCACATATGGCACGTATTTGAACTTGAAACTAGATTTTTAAATTATACTGCAGTAAAATCTGAATACAGAAATCAGCTATAAAAACACTGTACTAACCTTATATTGCTTTGTAGTTATTTTAGAATATAACACAAATGTTTTTGGTCTACCCTAGGACCTTCTTCAGGTGGAGTTCTAGAAAAAATTTTTTCTGGTGTGATTAGTGTTCCATTTCGTTTCCGATACATTATAATTTCATTTGTGTTATGTTCTAAAATAACTGCAAAGCATTATAAGATTAGAGTGGTGTATTTATAATTAATGCTTTGCTTATTGGATGGATTTTATTAGAAATCAGCTAAATGCTGCTCCTGATATACAAATTTAACTTTTAAGTATCAAATCAAATAGTAAAAAAATATTACAAAAATTGAAAGCAATAAAAATTGTTTGAAATTGAAATTAATAAAATAAATTCTCATTAATAACTAGATTTTCTAGATTTGTTTTATTTAGTTAGGGCATGTCCAGACATTTGCTATTTGCTGAATATCCATCTTTTGCCAAACTATTTACTGAACTGTTTGACACTTGATGAGCACATACATATATAGGCTTACATTCAATTATTTGCTGAGCATTGGTTTGTTGCAGGAATAATAAATGCTCATGAGAGATATAGAAAATGGACAATTCTCAAACAATAATTTGCATCATTGCTTTTATAGTTATGAATAGTTCATATCTGTGAATGAAAAAAAGCCTAAAAAAGATGGTGGTGGATGGTATCATGTCACTGAAACAGAAAAAAATGAATGTGAAAAATAAAGAAATTTAAATATTAACAGCAGCAACACAAACCATATTGCAAAGAGAAAGATCAGGGGAAAAACTATATAGAAAAAATAAAATAAATATTTAAACTATAAACCAAATAAAAATAAAATTAACTAAATTCAAAAATAAAGACTAGATCTAGTTAAAAAGAAAACTAAAATGTAAACATTGATGACGAAAGTCACATACTTGCTATTTGCCAAATGCCAAGAAGTGTGGATGGACAACATAAATATATGGAGGCAAATATTTGTCTTTTTTGATTCAGCATAATTTACTAATAAGAATCTGAAAACAATGAATGCTGAATATTCATCACAGTAAACCATCCACACTATCCAGTATTTACTGAATGTTTGCTTGGCATTCCGCAAATAGCAATTGCATGAATGCACTCTTATTTGATATTAAATATATTAATCAGTATGCTAATGAACAATCTTACTTCACCACCTAATGCTTGCAATTTTTCTCAGCAATTATTAGGTGATGAAGCAAGATTATTATTAAATATATTGAGTAATGTATTTTTTGAGATTTTTTTTTAATTGATATATGCCAGAAAATAACATAATGTAATATTTTTTAAAAATTATTTTATCTTGTATTTTGCTAATCTCTTAAGTTCATGTATAAAAATTCTATTAGGGATTCCATAATTTTTTATTGTATTCAAAAAGATTCTGTGATCAAGTTAAATTGGGAAACACTACACTAGTTTAAACTAGCAAGTTATCACTTATGATGATTAATTATTTGATTGTTATGACAAATAACTTAATTCCATAAAATGCACTTTTATAGTATAATTTCATAAAATTCTGTTATGGAAGATTATTATGGAAATAACAGCTTGCTTATGAAATTAATAAGAATGAAGTTACTGATTGATTTGATAAGCTATTTTATTGAAGTGATTATAGATATGCTGCTCTTCTTTGGAAAGTAAATACTACATATCAATTATTAGCAGACTTGCATCTCTTTTCTTGTTTCTAGTTAAACGAAAAACTTTATTTTTATTTAAAATACCTACAACTGTTTAGAAAAATTGCATGTTCAAAAATATCATCTCTATCTTTTTGAAGTAATAGTACCACATGCAAAATACATGGAACTCAGTGTAGCCATTAAATATAATGCTGTCTCAGACCATAAGACCACCATCTGCAAACTGGTCTCTTTGCACAATGTTCATAGGACTGTATTGAGTTCTATTCTTTATCTAAATTCTAATTCAACAAGAATTATTTTATGGACATATCCATGGATTAGATGCTTATTTTTGGACATGAGTGTAATTTTTTGCAACTGATTAAAATTTTCAATTCATTTACCAAATATTGTAATGACTAAACAATCTATCAGTAAATTGAAATTTTATTCAGTTTATTTGAAAATATTCTATGTAAATAAACACTGCACAATAACCGATATCAGGCTAACTCCAAGTTAGCCTGACGATATCCGTTAAACATAGTTAAGTGTTTACTTTCTTGTTATTTCTTCTTGCTGGATATTGGTTATATATGCAGTGTTTATTAATGTATTTCCAGTCCTTTTTAATTTCGATCCTTCTCTTTTCTTCCTCCTCCTGGGAATACAGATTCTGTATTCCCAGTTTTGAGTGGTTGAATATGCTATGTTTATATATTTATCAGTTTTATTTACTTCAGTTTTTAATCCATTGTTTTCCATTGTTTACTGATACCACCAGTGAATTGTTTATATTAATCTCCTTTTTCTTGTTGCTTATCATATTAAATCTAAACTATTAAATGATTTTTTTTTGTTTATTTTTAGATTATCTATTTTACTCTTGTCCTAAAAGAATCATGTTAAAATCTGCTTTCTATTTTAAAATAGATTAATAATTATTATAATCAAAATTTACTGAAAATTTAATATAAATTATTGAAGAATATACAGTAGATCCCCCTATAAGATGGTAGATACGTTCCGTTCTTTATGAATCAATTTTGTAGGAATCATAGTTTACGGACTACGGCTGTTTGAAAGGTTTTCTTTCATAAAATTAATCGATTCTAGACTAATTCGACTCAACATTTCCAAAATACGTATATTTTTTTG